TTACAACCTTGCTTTTCTCCATTAAACAAGTTACCAAAATGTTATATTGCTCAATAGATTGCTATGTCAAAACAATGTTCAAGACATTTTAAAAGTGACTAAAAGAAAAGCACAAGTTAAAAAAAAAAAAAGTAATAATAATAGTAATTCCATAATTCAGATGAAGAAAATTTAACTGATTCTCTCTCAGGAATCATTATCCTCAGTCTACAAGGGTTTAAATCATTCAGGATTTATCATTCAAATTTGAATATACCACTTTTTAAATACCTTTTCAAATTTCACAAACTTAAAATATGGGAGCTTTTAAAACAAAAACACTTAAATTATTTCTTAAATTACTCAAGATATGCCCTCAAAAAACAGGACAATCAGAGGTCAACTGGACTGTTTTCTAAAGCAGAAAAACACTTTTTATGTAATAACAGAAAAACTGAACTAGTAAAAATGTAATAAACCAATCAGGTCTGAATTTATAATATAAATCTGAAATCACCACTTTTGGGGGAGAAAATTTCTCCTGCTGCCATTTTTAGGATCTCATTTGTACAGCAAACTCAGTTTTAAAACATCTTGTCTCCAAACCAAGACAAAGAATTGAAAGACTTACACAATTAATTACTATATACGAAAGACTTAAGTATGATACTTTATTAACATAGGTTTATCAGGTGTTATACCTTTTCATTAATTTATTTTGCTAATTTGGAAATCTATAAACATAGTTTGTATTTTCAAACAGTGTCTTCATTAAAAATTGTATCAGACTTTTACTAAGCCAAACTGACCTCCCTTTTATATTAATTTTTTCAAATTTTATTTTATTGGGCAGATTGGAACAGTTTAGTTTGGGGAAAGAATTCAGAAGCAGGTAAGTATTATCCAGTTTTTATGTTTAAGTAAGACTAATTTTACTGGGAGTTTCAGACATGCTAAAAATGCTGCCTTGATTTCTGAAAGCTGTAAATTCTAAATGCATTCCAGTGACTTCAGATTTTTTCACCTGTTGAGAAAACAATTTTTTTTAAATGTGTGAAACTGATCTGTATTTACAGCAAACTCAATTTGATAATCCTTAACAAGATGAAGTATGGGTTTCTCTGTAGCAAGTTTTATATTCTTAATATATGTACAAAAAGTCTTACTTGAATATTCATTTACATAATATATTTCAAGATATGTTTTTTTAAAGTTTGGTTTTGGGGGTGGGGGTCATATATTGTAAGATGTCCAGAGAGAATATACAAATATTTTTCATGAAGTAGTTCACATGTACACATTTTTAAATACTTAAAAACACAAAGTACAACATATTCTTTATTTTTAAAGGATTTTTTTTCACATAATAAAATTATTGGTACCTCACAGTGAAATTCATTTACTTCCACAAACAAAAATTTCCTATAAAACAGAGCTTGAAAATCACTCAGGAATACATATTTAATGGCTGTGTAGAGGGAAAAAAACTGTGTATAGAAAAGTATTCCAATCATGCAAACTGTAATACACAGCAATGCCACAGTACATCCTATGAACATGACCATTTATAAATTGAAAATCTGGCTGAACATAGCTATATCAACGTCACTATCATTCTTTCTCTGCACCTGAAAATACACTGAAGTTCTAATTAGACATAAAGACCGTACCATTATATTTAAAAGGGCAGAAAATCTATCCTTCAGAGCACTTTATTGCCTCCATTTTCCAGCCTCCAAAGTTTAAGGTGTTACACTTTTAACAAATTGTTAACAGCACTCAAATTCCCCATCTTACAAGGTTCATCAAAATCTTCTCTATTTTAAAAAAGAAATACTCTACCATATCTCACTAAAAACGTTGACGTTTTAAACAAAGAGAGTTCCCATTAAAAGATAACAGCTTGGGATGAGTGCTTGTGTTCGGGAAAGTCGCGTTATTATGGTGGCAGTCCACAGAACTGACTGTAGTACTAAGATGAATGGTGATTAGGGCAAGGAGCATCAAGTGGGAAACACTATCTAAAATCCCATAGGACAATACATAGCTAGAAGCTAGAAGAGCATCCCTTTCCGGAGGCAGCTCCATTATTTCACGTAGGCAGTTCAAAGCACGTAGAAAAGCAAAACAACTAAGAACACCTTTTAACCTGGCCACTACCCTCTTTACGTGTTCATAAATCCCCCAAAGCCTTTGAGAAAGTAGCAACCGTCACCGCTGTCTCTCCACCGTGTTCTGCAAAATCGTTTGTTTTTTGTTTTTTTGTTCCAAATATACGTGTATTTACAACGCAACTCTACAACCCAACATAGGGGCATTTAAAATGTTTGTGTTGCTGTTTAGCTGTGGTCCCTAAGAAATTTACGCTATGAAGGGGGAGGTTTTCCGTCGGGCACCATAAACACGCATTTCCTACTTCCACGGACGCACGTTCCCCTGCAAGCAGTGCACCTGGAGACGCTGCCCCGCCCCCAGACTCGGAGGCTGTAAACTCTCCGGAGTCACGACCGACACACAGCGAGCAGAACCACACGGTCACTTCAATGAGAAAGACTCTCTGGCCCCGGGCGCCGCTCTCCAGCCAACCGCATCTCCGGAAGGGGCAGAGGAGAGCGCTGGGAGAAGTGGCGACGAAGAGCGATTGACAACAGAGCTGACACTTCCCCACTCCTCTCAAAGCCATTACCAGAAATGGGCACTTGGGAGACGCAGGGGGGAGTCCGCGGTCCAACCGGCGACCGACCTCAGAGCGGGGCCTTGCGAGCCCGTTCACGCGGGACATGGCGCGGCCACCTGGCTCAGCGTTCGCGGCGCTCACTCCCCCGCCCGCGGTCCGGGAATGTGGATCCCGCTCCCGGCCGCCGCAAGCAGTGTAAACACTAGGCGCCTGCCGCCTCCCCGCCGCGGGGGCGCCGCGCTCGCGCGGATCCACATTTTTGCGCCTCTTGTCACGCACGGGAGGAAAGGCGAGGAGGGCGGAGGGGAGGGAGACGCGGCGGAGCTCCACCGAGAGGGCCGGCGCCGGCGGCGTGCGCGCGTGTGCGCGGCGGGGAGGGCAGCCCGGGCGCCCCGCCGGCTTCCGCCCGCGCCCCGCGTCCCGCGCCCGCTTACCTGCCGGGGTCGCTCCGAAGACTCGCACTACCGGCACCTTCTTGACAGGGGCCTGGGTGAGGGGGGATTGGCAGATATCCAGCCCCTGCACCGGGCTGGCCATGTAGTAGTCGGCAGTCACTATCCTCACTGAAAACATGTTCGCCGCCACCGCCTCCTCTTCACTAGCGACAGCGGCAGCAGCAGTGGCGGCAGCTCCTTCCGCAGCGGCGTCCCCTCTCCTCCTCTGCTTGTCCCCCTCCCCTTACACACAGACACCTTGAGCGGCGGCGGGCGGGGCGGTGTTGGCACTGCTGCCGCCGCCTTCTCAAGAGCACCCGGTGAGGGGCAACAGGAGACAAGCCCTCGCGCTTCCGTCGGTGCTGGTGCTGCCGCCACTGCCGCCGCCGCCGGGAATCACACGGGCTCCTCGGTCCCAGGCTGCAGCTCTTGTTGCCATGATGATGATGTCACGGACGCAACCACTGGGGGAGGGGAGAAGAAGGTTGTGTGTGTGGCGGAGGGAGGGCCGCGAGTAGCCGGGGGAGGGGACGCGGCGGGAAAGGGAAGGAGCGGGCAGGCGCCCGAGCGGGACACCCTGGCCGTGAAGGTGTTTTCTCCCCCGCCCCCGGGTACGCAGCGAGGGAGGAGGCTGGCGGAGAGCTGGGCCCGCGCCCGGCGCGGAGGATCGATGACTCGGCCAGTGGGCACGGCCACCTGGGTGAGGGGCAGCGGAGGGGGCGGTGGAGCGTCGATGTCATGGATGGGCTCGGAGAGGCTAGCGGGAGGGGGGCGTCAGTGTTCTGGACTGTTTTGGGCGGCTAGGCGGGATTGGCCGGAGCTGCAGCGCTCGCGCTCGCCTCCCCGACCGCCATTTCACGTCCCGCAGAGAAGGCGGGGGCAGCCGCGGAGACGGCTTTTTACAAGGTAAGGAAACCCGCCCGCGGGGGGGAGGGAGCGGAGGCGCAGATCTCGTGCCGCCGCGGCCTCGCGGGAGGGGCGGGGGCGCGCGAGCGCGGGCTTCCGCCTATAAAAGGGCCGCCCCAGCGCGTTTTTTTTCCCCGGACGTGCGGCGCACTTTGCCGCGCTGTCTCCTTCGTCGTCCTTCTGCAGTGTCTGCGCCCAGCCCCAGTGAGATCTATTCACGCTCGGCTCTGCGCAGCTTTGCCAGGAGTCGGCAGAGCCCGTGCGCGGGAATGCCCTCCGCCGTGTTTTTCTCCCGCCCTTTTCCTTCCCTGTCTCCCTGCTGTATCCTTCCTTGATTTGCACCTCTGGTCAACAGACTGCGTCCCGGGCGTGCGCGTCTACATGTTAGGACTTGTCAGCAGCTGATAATTTCCCTCCTCCTATCCCTCCCCCAGAGGAATGTAGGGTTAACAGCCTTTCTAAGAAATTTTCGGCCAAAGAAAAAGGCCGATGAAAATACCCAGTGTTATTCATTAACAGGGTGTGCTAGGTTTTACTCTCCGAAGGCATAAAAGCAAAAGGGGATGGGAAAGGACCGTTAGACAAAACAACTTTATTCATAAAGGTTGCGGCGGGGGCGGTATGCAGTTGTGAAATCCAGGGGAAAAAAACAAAGGTAGTAACATGCTGTTGTGTTGGCCATTATATTGGAACCCCTAGGGGTTTTTGTGTGTGTGTGTGTGTTTTTTTTTGTCTGACTTGGTCACTAATATTGGGCGTGACCTTGAAAAAATAATTTGGTGTCCTAGGACCTCAGTTTCCTTGTCTGTGAAAGAGAGGTTCACTTAAAAATCTATAAGGGTTTCTTCTCAATAGGAAGATGAGAGCGGTAGGAGGCAGAAACCATGGTTTCAAATTCGAAATATGCCACTGAATTAGGACTTTTGACAGTCATTTTCAACCTATCCAAATTAGAGCTTGTTCTTTCACACTTGTCTTATTACAGGTGTCTTTTAATGATTAGTAGGTTGCTATTTGAAGTGGTGTGAGAGATCCTCATTGGAAACCATTGTGGTTCTTCAAATAGAAAAATCAAAAGGCTGAAAGGGACAGATGACTGGTAAGAAGCTGTCTGTAAATTCCATAACATATAATGCTAATAAGAAGATATGCTCCGAGGGATTTGAGACTGATTACCACAGTAAATTAGCCTGCAATTTTCGATCTCAGAGCATAATTATAAACATAGAAGGCAAGATTTCTACTAATATACAGAAAACTGCCTAATAATATTTTTAAGAGGCAAAATCTCTTAAATAGATTTAAGTTTTAGAAGGCTATAAAAATGATTTAAAAATAGGACTACCATGTTAAAATGCATTTTCTGGCAAAATAAGTATTTTGTACAAGCTGAATGTCAGATGTACAATACCAATGATTCTTGTAGCATTCTCTGGCACTAGGGTATTCTTTTTTTTTTTTTAATCCTCACTGAGAACATTTTTGCATTTATCCTCACATAGAGCAGAAGGGAGAGAGGGAGAAACATTGATGTGAGAGAGACACATCAAGTGGCTGCCACCCACAATGACCCCGGGGACAGACTGCAACCGAAGTACGTCGTGCCCTTAGCGGGAACGGAACCCTGGACTCTCCGATCTGCAGTCTGTGGGCCGACACTCTAACCTCTGAGCCAAACTGGCCAGGGCTAGGGTGTTCTTTAAAGTGGAATATTCTGGCCCTGGCTGGTTTGGCTCAGCGGTTAGAGCATCGGCCTGCGGTCGGGAGAGACCTGGGTTCAGTTCCCGCTAAGGGCACATACTTCGGTTGCAGTTTGTCCCCAGCCCTGGTTGGTCGTGCGGGTGGCAGCCACTCGATGTGTCCCTTCACATCGATGTTTCTCTCTCTTTCTCCCTTCCTCTCTCTCTCCCTCCCAGTCTATCTGTACAAAAAATGGAAAAATATCCTCGGGTGAGGATAAAAAAATAAAGTGGAATATTCTGGCCCTGGCCGGTTTGGCTCAGTGTCGGTCTGCGGTCCAGAGAGACCCAGGTTCTGTTCCCGCTAAGGGCATGTAGTTCGGTTGCAGTTTGTCCCCAACCCTGGTTGGGTCCTGCAGGTGGCAGCTACTCGATGTGTACTTTCACGTCGATGTCTCTCTTTCTCTCTCTCTCTTCCTCCCGCTCTATCTGAACAAAAAAATGAAGAAATGTCCTCGAGTGAGGATTAAAAAAAATAAAAAATAAATAAAGTGGAATATTCTGGCCCTTACTAAATCACATTTTAGAGGATGGGCCTAGAAATCTGTATTGTTAGCAACCCCACCCACCACAGTCATGATTCTTAAATAATATAAAATGGAGAAACTCTGTACTGTATTATAATAAAGTACATCCATAATACTTAAATTATACTATTCCTAACTAGGAAAAGGTAAAAGCATCGAATTCACAGATTAGTTTTTATAGAAAAGTGTTTCTTTGCTCCTACTTTTTGAATCAACATTTACTTAAAGAAAAGGCAACCATAATTACAATCCTTCTAGAACTCCAAGGAAAGAAGGTTCACTCTTTTGTTGTTGTTTTACGTACCCTTAGCGGGAACCGAACCCGAGACTCTGTGGTCCGCAGGCTCCTTTTTTTTTTTTTTATAATTTTTTATTTATTAATGTATTTTTGTTACAGATGTTTCTCATTTTTCCCCCATTGACACCCTCCTCCCCTCCCCCCAACCCCTTCCCCAGCTTTGTTGTCTATATTCATTGGTCATGCATACATGCATGTAAATTCTGTGGTTTATCTCTTCCCCCACAAACGCCCCCCCAACCCTTGTCAATCTGTACCCCACCTCTATGTCTCTGGGTTAATTTTGTTCAGCAGTTTGTTTAGTTCATTATATTTCACAAATAAGTGAGATCGTGTGATATTTGTCTTTCTCTGCTTGGCTTGTTTCGCTTAGCATAATACTCTCCAGGTCCTTCCATGCCATCTCAAAGCTGCATAGTATTCCATTGTGTACATGTACCACAGCTTTTTTATCCATTCATCTACTGATGGACACTTTGTATTAGCTATTGTAAATAGTGTGGCTATGAACATGGGGGTACATATATTCTTTCTGGTTGGTGTTTCAAGTTTCTTAGGGTATATTCCTAGAAGTGGGATCACTGGGTCAAATGGGAGTTCAATTTTTAGCTTTTTGAGGTAACACAATAGCGTTTTCCACAGTGGCTGCACCAGTCTGCATTCCCACCAGCAGCGTACTAGCATCCCTTTTTCTCCACACGCTCGCCAACACTTGTTTGATGGTTTGTTGATGGCGGCCATTCTGACAGGTGTGAAGTGATACCTCAGAAGGTTCACTCTTGAAGAAAACCATTTGCAGCATGAAATTAGGATGGTGTGTTTATTGCATGTATTTGAATTTAAGTGGATGTTCAACTGAAAACCTGACAAATACCCCCTTAATTAATCACTATAAAATGTATTTTATAAATGTATTCTCTCGAAGTACGAAAGAACTCTGGAATTTTGAGTCAGAGAATCAAAAATTTAAACCATCGCCCTGGCGGGTTTGGCTCATCAGTTAGTGTCGGTCTGCGGAACGGAGAGTACCGGGTTCAGTTCCCACTAAAGGCACCATAACTCAGTTGTAATTTGTCCCTAGCCCGGTTGGGGTCTTGTGGGTGGCAACCACTCTGTGTGTCTCTCACATCAATGTTTCTCCCTCTTTCCCTCCTGCTCTATCTGAAGATAAATGCAAAAAAAAAAAAAAAGAAAGCCATCATTTACAAGCTACATAAGTTTGGTCGATCACTTTAATTTTTAGAGTTTGTTTTCTCATCTATGAAATGGATAGTAATTCCTGTTCTAACTTCTCAGAGATGTTACAAGGTTCAAATAAGGTAATGTATGTGAAAGTATCATAATAAACTGTTGACATTCAGAAGTTTAACTCATCTAAAAACAATAAAGTCATTTGAAATTTTCTTATCTAACACAATATGAGAAATGCTAAAATTGAACTCTATACTTAATATCCTTAAAGCATCTCCTTTTTAGTTGTTATCATCGAGTGGCTTGTATTTGCCAGGTGATTTGAGATTTAGTGAGAAACAAAACATATGTGGTCTCTGCCCTTATAGAGATTATAGTCTAGCACCTTAGAAATGTATTTTAGGAAATTCTCTCTCTCTCTCTCTCTCTCTCTCTCTCTCTCTCACACACACACACATACACACACACTCACATTCCTGCTTCTCCCCCTTTTCCCCCAGGTGTGTTTTCCTTGCCTCCTTCTCCCCTAAGCTCCAAGTGCCCCCCCCCCAAGAAATGTATTTCAGTCAGCCTGGCCATTGTGGCTCAGTGGTTGAGCATTGACCTATGCACCAAGAGGTCGAGGTTCAATTCCTAGTCAAGGCACATGCCCAGGTTGTGGGCCCAATCCCCAGTGGGGGGCAAGCAGGAGGTGGCCAGTCGATGTTCTCTCTCATCAATGTTTCTCTCTCTCAAAAATCAATAAAGAAAAAAAAATCTTTTAAAAGAAATGTGTTGTTGTCATATCAGTTGACATTTTATCTCTTCTAGTTCACCGACCTTTGCTCATCATGTCATGCGTGCCTGTAGTAAAAGCGTGCCCAGCCTTCTGTACCAATACTGTTCAATATCTGTTAGCATCTGCCTGTTAGCAATTTATAAATTAGAACGGCAGGCAATGGCTACCGTAGTTTTTTGGCAGATACTGTCAGATGGCTTACTTAATACTTATCCAACCCTTTCAGCTTGCTTTTTTGTACTTTAGAAGCTTAGAAAATAAAAACTACAGTTTCCAGACTCACTTGCAGCAAGAGTGCTGGCATAAGATGAGTGATGTGTTAGTGAATGTTTAACAATGGCTGGGGGAGGGGAAAGACCCTGGTTTGTAGCATTGGCCAATTTTCATGGTATGGATACCCCTAAGCTGCCCAAGTCATTTCGCAGTATGTGGAATTAGTTGGAGATGATGCTCATAAATAGTGATGGCTTCAGGATACCACTACATATGACTTAGTTTCTAGCAATCTGATGCACCCATTTAAGACCTGACTGTGAAAGTGAGTAATGTGCTGCATCAGCTGCAGTTATGGAAATGGGGTTTTCTGGCAAACACCATGGTGGAGGTGTCTTGTTCTTTTGGGTAGCTGGAGAGGAGTTCTGATGTCCATTTTTAGAATTATAGATGTTGACTGGCAGGTAGTGCACACATAGTGGTGAGATGTGTGTTCTTCCTAGTTTAGTTTTTCCTGGATGTTGTTTCTAGCTATGTACTATCTGGGTCTGGTTCTCTTGTCCTCTTGGAGATCTGTAAGCTAAATACTATCCTTTAATTCCTTTCTGCTTAAACTTGCTCAGTCATGGCAAGCTACATAATTTGTGAGGTTCAGAGCAAAATGAAAAATTTGGGATCTTTTGTCAAAAAGCAGGAAGAAAGTACCATATGTACTAAAATATGAAGCTCTTTTTGTCTTCTCAGTTTGTTATGATTTTTCAATTTGTTTTTTTATGTCATTCTAAGTAAAGAAAAATTCAAATTTTAAATTATTAGAATGAATTTTACCATTTATTTTTATATTGTGCAATGCCATTTATAAATGCAAATATAAGAGATTTAACTCATACGTAGAATCACCAAAGATACACAATTCATATTTCATATCTTGTGCATGCATATGTATTTTGTGCTTATCAGAACAGTGTAAATGCGGCACAAAACCAACTCAGCTGTTTTTATTTCCCTTCTTGATAGGCGCACATCCTACCAACCTGAGTAAACAAGGACTAAAAGAAAAAGGAACTATGGATTGTCCTATCATTCCCCTTCCTTCTATGTCATCATTTTCAGTATAAAAGGTAACACAGTGAAGTAACACACACAAGTAAGAAAGAATATTGATAGGGTTCTTTGGTCACCTGTATTTCTTAGGATACCATTGCCTTCTTTCTACACCTGAAGCAAGTTCTGGTTCAATGGAAAGCATAGCCTCTTGGAGCTGTCAGTACCTCTGTTAACTCAGTCATAGGAGTAACATGCTTGCCTTCTACTTACTTTATGACTCCTTGAGTTCTTATATGTTATAGGTCTTATATGTTATAGAATTCTGTGCCTATGAGGCATCATGAAGACTGTATGAAAAGGGGGTGGCAAGGAAGAAAGGACACATACATTGCCTCCTCTGTGTGTGATCCATTGTACCACTGGACTTCATTTGTAAAACAGATGTTCAAACATAAAGGTATTAAGATTTTCAAAATGGTGACTGCAGAGCATTAAACCAAGCACTGGGCCCTGTATGACCCCATGGTTGGCATGCCAATGAAGTTGACCCTGAGTTCCATGTTTCACAAGGGGCTTCTGGTATTTTGAATGTGCAGGATATTTAACATCCCTGGCCCCTGGGTACTACATGCCACTGTGACAGAAATGCCCCCAAAGAGGAGTTACTGCTCTCCACTGAACTCCTAGAGTGGACTCCACTATTTGCAACCAGGAACCATATCATTATAGAGCCAAGAAAGGTCATAGTCATTCTCAAGCAGAGCAAAATAGATAATCAAGTTAAAAAGATTTAAAAATTGCATACTCAGGAGAGCATAATTATAATGACTTTTCCTACATTGTCAGAAAAATGATACCACCTACATTGGTGATGAAACAAATTATTTGGGACAAAAGTTTAAAGGTGACCAGTAGGTTTTATGTGTCACATGTATATAAATGGTCATTGACTCCAGATAGATGGCAATTTCTGATAGTTTAGAAAAAGAGCAGAGAACCACAGAAAAGCAGTGGGAACCATCTTACATTCATTATCAATTAGCTAAAGGGGGGGAAAGCCTTAAAGGAAAAACTAAGAAAATTATCATAAGAAACTGTGGTACTTTTATTTTTAATTTTAATTTTTTAAATCCTCACACGACGGCATTCTTCCATTTATTTTCAGGGAGGGAGGGAGAGAGAAACATTGATGTGAGAGAGACACATCAGTTGGCTGCCTCTTGCACACTTCCAACCAGGCTGGGGACCAAACTGTCCAGGGCAGTACTTTTAATATATTAGATTTTGAGCTTACTTTCATTGTGACTTTTTTTAAGTTTTAATTCTTGATTTAAGACTATTAACATTATGCATATTAGAACTAAAGCAAGATAATCCCAGACCACTTTGTTTCCTTTATCCCTATACTAATAGCCCTGTAGAGACTTAAAGTTCTAGCTCTGTAACTGGCCTCGCCTGTGCTAACTCTGAACCTAAATTTTCTCCTCAGTAAAATGGGGATGATATTATCTTAGGTTCATTTCACCAAAAGCCAATTCATTAAAAGGTAATTCTACTAAAGAATACATTGATTAAATAAATTCAAGATGAATATTCTCTAAAACAGGTATTTGGCAAAATATAACTGACTCTTTGGCAAATTAGATTTTAGCAAAACGAGTGTTTTCCATCCCTATTAGGCATATTATAAGGATTAAATGAGGTATTGCGAACTAAAATATGTTTAGCAAAATGCTCAATAAATCTTAGCTATAAACCCTACAATATCCTGACTTCATTCTTTCTCGTAGTCCCATTCCTATCCATATAATTATTGTCCTTGTGTAGGCTCACTACCTTTAAGTGGACACTGACTGCATTTACTTGGTCTCATGGCTCATTCCCCCCCAAACTTATTTAACTCACTACTGAAAGGATGATCTGTCTACCACATAAATTTTAAATTATCATCTACAATATAATATTTCATTTTACCTTTTCCATTTATCCTCTAGGACCACTGGAGTAGATTAAATATACCATGCTTTTGGAAAAAGCATCAAATCTCTATGCCTTTGCTTTTCTAACTGGGATGTCTTCCCCCTTCATGTCTCATGTCAAAATCTGTACTAATCTTTCAAGTGTTAGTTAAAATGCCACGTCCCATGTAAAGGTGTCCCTGATTTCCCCAAGCAGATTTCTGGACTTCCACTGTTTTTTGGATATGCTTCTGCTATAACTTTTAGATTATTGTAGTTGTTTGTTAGTTTATCTGTCATTTTAATAGCCTCTAATGTCCTTAAAGGAAAGAACCATGTCTTTTCATCTTTTGTTTACTGGCTCCAAGTATAGTGCCTAGAATATATGTCTTCAATGTTTATTGAATTAAAAAATTAAAAGATCTATTTACAACCTTCTCTACTGCCTTCCCACCACACATCCATTTTACAGATCAGGAAGCAGAGGCCCAAAGGAATGAAGCTGTTTAGTGAGAACCCATGCCTTCTAACTTCAGATTTATTACTTTTACCCCTATATTATAGAGAATCTTCTGAGTAGCATCTATATGCTAGTCATTTCTGTGGTAGGAAATAGCCTGTCTTGTCATTGTCTTTCATTCATGTCTAATCTAGGCAATAGGCAGAAGGGCATAGTAAGTAATTTGATAAGATTTTCTTCCTTGTTCAATTATTTGGCTGCTTTTTGTTTTCTAGTAAATTGAGTAAAATTCAAGGTAAATTCTGTATCATTCCTTTCCTTTATCTTCGTAGAACTCAGTTTTCTTAACTGCTATATGGTTGAATGCCTGATGCATTTAGTTCAGTGGTCCTCATTCAGGGCAGCTTTGACCCCAGGAGACATTTGGTGAAATAACTGGAGACATTTTTTTATTATCACATCTAAAAGAGTGCTAGTGGTGTCTCGTGGGTAAGAGTCCAGGGATGTAGCTAAACACCTTCACAACAGAAAGAATGATCTGGTCCAAGGTGTCAATAGTGCTGAGATTGAAAATAGTGCTGATCTAATCCAAATTTTTACCTAGTCTTTCATCCAGTGTCTTACCTCTATGAAACCATGATGGAAAATAAACTCGTTCCCTTCCAGAGGGATTGGAAGTAAGTATGGCAGACTGGAGGCAATTGCTATCAACTCCACCTATTCTTCAAAAGATTTCATGCAGGTTTCCCCAATTTATTCATAGTATCTGCCTGGGTATAAGATAGGCACATAAATATATATTGCCTGAATGGTTAATAAAATATTTTTTGTCTGAAAGAATGGGATTTTCTCTCTTGTTTAAACTAAAGGGAAGTCAAATTAATCATTGTGGTGAGAGCTGAATTTCTTTCTGTTCTCATCTTTTTAACCAATTAATCTTCTCCGTTACAAGGAGAAGCAAAACTTATTAAAAACAACTCTCAACTCTTCTACTTCCATAAATTATCAGTAATAGTTTTAAGGGAGAGACCAATGAGCCTATAAATTAAAGATGATGTTTGAAGAACAAAAAAATGAAAGAAGCTTTCAGAACAGAGCAATATTAGATTTGATGCTTAAGCTCTCCAGGACCTTCATTTAAATATCCTATCCAGAATTGATATTGGAGTATTTTCAGTGGATTATGGCTAGGAAGGAAGAGACCCAACACATGTAGAGTAGTATCAGACTAAGTTCCCAATTTAATCAAGATACAAAATCTCAGAAACAAGGTTTCTATATAGAGCAGCATATCTCAGGGTAGTTTTCCTTGGCCCCAAAGGCCTCACTACATTTTTCATAGCTTAGATCACATTCCAGGAAAACTTCCACTAATAATCTTTGTTACTGACAGTGAACTCTTGGGTTTTGATCCTCATTTTACATCCCCATTCCAGGGGCCAGGAGAGACTATTCTCAGATATGTAGACACAGATCAACACTTACATTTCCTTACTTTCTCAATAAAATGTACTTTTTAATCTTAAAGGTTTTAAATGCATAGCATAGAAGATACGGAAAACCATTAAAAAATATATGGGACACTCAATTCCACCCGAGACAGTCATTATTAACATTTTAGTCCATTTTTTCCTATAAATATATTACATAGTAGAAATAATGTCCTGTTGTTTTTTTTACTTTACATTATAGCAGAAGCATTTCCCATGAAAATTAAAATTCTTCATGTACATTTTTTAATGGATGCAGACTGTGCTGTGCTGTGGACATAAGATAGTTGACCATTTTTCCCATTGGCCAACAACAGAATGTTTCGTGTTTTTTATTTATTTATTTTTTAAATCCTCACCCGAGGACATTTTTACACTTATCATCAGATAGAATGGGAGGAAGGGAGAGAGAGAGAAAAAAAAAAAAACATAAACGTGAGAGAGAAACATCAACTGGTTGCCTCCTGAACTACCTGACCAGGGCCGGGTACGAACCGTAACCGAGGTACGTGCCCCTGACCGGAATTGAACCCACAACTCTTTGGTCCACAGGCAGATGCTCTAACCACTGAACAACTGGCCAGGACTGTTTTGTATTTTATATTCTTATAAATATCCCACTGAGCATTTGCTACATTTTGGATCTTACCCTTACCTTTTTCTTTGCTTTTTTTTAACATTTTTTTATGTTTATTGATTGTAGAGGGAGAGGAAGGAAGAGAGAAAGAAATATTGATGTGTGAGAGATACATTAATTGGTTTTCTCCCCCATGCAACCCCTGCAAGGATCAACCTGAAACCTAGGTATATGCCCAGACCGGGAATTGAACCCGAGAACTGTCTATAGGACAACACTCCAGCCAACTAAGCCACCTGGTCAGGGCCTACCCTCACCTTTTCAAGGTTCATTTACTTTTATGGTTCATTGTTTGACAACATCAGTTCCTGGTACATGCCATGTTTGTCCTCTCCAAAGGAGAGAGAGAATTGTATGTGATACTCTTATCCCTGGTTTGCTCTTCATCTCCCCACCTCTTTGCCCTGTTTATGCTTTTGATTTTAGGTCAAAGGTCACTTCTTCAAGGAAGCCTTCCTAAACTCTGTTTGATTATGGGTCTCTGTTACATACTCTGATTGTACTGTGTTCTTTTTTTTTTTTTTTGGTTAATTCTCACTGGAGGAGGACATTTTATCTTGATTTTTAGAGAGAGTGGAAGGGAGAGAGGGAGGGCAAGAGAGAAACATCAATGTGAGAGAGACACATCAATTGGTTGCCTCCAGCATGTGCCCCAACCAGGGCTGGGTATGGAACCTGCAACCCAGGTACGTGCCCTTGACCGAGAATTGAACCCAAGACCGTTCAGTGTGTAGCCAATGCTCAACCACAGAGCCACACCAGCTAGGGCATGTGTTCCTTTTTTTCATAGCACTTACCTCTGATTTTAGTAATCAGTTCATGTCTGTATTATTTGATTAATTTCTCTCCCCCTACCCCTTAGACCATCATCTGGATAAGTGTTACAAGGCTGTTTATAATGCATTACAAGGCCAATTAATGTGATCTCATTCGCATCACTGACAAGATGGGTTAAAGCTTGAGACTGAATACAGTTAGTCCAAAAATACATATGTGGCAGGCATTAAGCTAGGTACTGGGAATATACAAGTGAAAACAAGCATGATTTCAGCTATCATGGTCCTTACAGTCTAATTTGGCAAACTTTTTCTGTAAAGGAACTGATAAATTTTTTTGTTTTTTCAGGCCACATGGTCTCTCTCACAACTATTCAACTCTGCTGATGAAACACAAAAGCAATCATTAACAATCCATAAATGAAAGAGTGTGTCTTGGTTCCAATAAAACTTTATTTAAAAAACAGGCAAGGGAGTTAGATTTGACCCACGGGCTATTGCTTACTGACCCCTGGTCTAGTGGACAAGACAGCTATTAAACAGATCATTTGAGATGATGAATTCTTCAAAAGAAAAGGACAGGGTGCAATAAGGTCACATGACAGCTGTCTAAACTAGTCTAGGGAGAGGAATAAAGACTTCTTAAAGAACATGACTTTAAGATTTAAGGAAGAAGGGTGTTACCTGGATGAAAACAGGGGCAACAGCTCAGTGAAGACCTAAAGCATGGAAAGAGCAAGAATACAAAGAAATTACTTCTTAAGCTTGGCAATTGATAGAGAGTGGGAAATAAAATTGCATAAGGATATAGACTCAGAGTATTGAAAAATTTTCAGAACAAAATGCTTCCCTAGAGGAAGAGATGCCAGCAGGAAAGACTGAGAAGGAACACTCAGTGAAGCGTAGTGATAGAAGGAAAGTTAAGACCTTATCGATAACTCTAGCCTCCTCTTCCACTTGGATATGTAAGATAGGTAGGTTGGGAGATACTATCCTAAAGGCTATGATAACCTTATATAACTGATAGACTTTCTGAAGGGTAAGAAAGATACATATATGAGGGCTGAGCATAGGGTTAAGGGGAATAGTAAGGTAGAGAATGAAAAGGTAGGGAAGGAATCAGAATAGAGGTAGGAAAACATTACTGTTACATAGTATATCTAGTATATAGTAAGTGCTCAATTTTTGATAAATGAATGGAAGGGTAATAATATAGGAATCCATGAGAAAAAGGGTTTCAATAACAAGTTGATTAATAGTTTTGCATGCTTAAAAGAGCTATTGATCAAGACTCATTTCCTTGGCTATCTGGGAGAGGATTCAGGTTAATTCACTCTTGCTGCCCTAACACAGAATAAGCCTGACCTCTCATTTCCACTTCTAGGAAAAGCTGACCTGGTTCTTTTCTTACCGAAAGATTTCAATGAGTAGGACTAAGGGACCTTCCTGTGTCAGTACATGCCCAAAATAAAATATAAAATTAGAATAGGAGCAAGATTTTTCATAGATACCAGCTCAACTGTTCTCTCTTTTCTGTCATTTATATTAAATATGTCTTCTGTCACTTAATTCTAAATTTTTGGTATTGTTGTTTTTAATTTTTATTAACTTCTTGTTGGTATTTATAAGCTCTTATGTTCGATACTGTGGTAATTTTAAAAAATGTAAGATATGGCTCTGGGCTCAAACATTGTGCAATTGACCAATAAGCTATAACTTTTGTTTTGTTTTTTTATCCTCACCTGAGGACATTTTTTGATATTTTGTTCAGATAGAGTGGGAGGGAGAGAGAGAGAGAAACATCGATGTGAAAGGGACACATCGAGTGGTTGCCACCCACACGACCCAACCAGGGCCAGGGACAAACTGCAACCGAGGTACGTGCCCTTAGTGGGAACCAAACCCGGGTCTTTCCAGACTGCAGGCCAATGCTCTAACCACAGAGCCAAACCGGCTAGCGCTAAGCTATAAGTTTCTTGACATTAGGAATCATATTTGACATTTCCTTTTTTTCCTTGCTCAGTATCAGACATATGGTTGGTACTGCAGAAATAAGTTTTCCTTGATCCTCTGCATTATACCATTTGGTGACCAAGTGGTGTCCATCTAGCCACTTTGTATGACTTGGACAAAACATGCAGCTTTCTGAGGCAGACAATGACATTCTGAAGGTATCAGTAACAGTAATTTCATCTTGTCAAAGGTGAAGGTTCTTTGTGTAAAGGTCAGCCTGTCAGTAAATAGCATGCCACCCCCTGTTCTTTCTTTTATAAGAAACCTTTGTATGTGTTTTTACACTTAAAAAAAAATATTGGGGAACTGTACTCAGTGGTTTCACCAGATGCTTTTAAATCAGAGCTGGGGTAATGAGTTATAATTTATTTTTAAAACATTTATTTTCACAAATTTATGAGAGCGGGGAACTGAGATTTTTCCGGCCTGAATTAGCAAGTAATTTCACTCTCCATTCTACTTTAGCAGAGAAAACCTTGCCGTAGGATGAAAATGTGAAGCAGAGGTTCTTGCCAAGTCTGCAAAGTAGAACAAAGATTAGTCTTAAGAATTAAAGTCAACCTTACTAGTTTTTCTTAAGCTGCTGTTTATTTTTGCATTAGTAAGAACTGTTTTTAGACTAATAGATCATAGGTAAGGCAGAAGCATCCCCTTTCTGGAATATTCAGTTGCCTTTACTAACCCATATCCAAAGTCTTTTAAGACCAAATTTATTAAAGACTGTGACACATGGCTTACAGTCTTCTTCCTACCTTAACTCCT